AATTATACTATGTGCCTCTTTTGAGGTAGTAAATCGATCCGGAATCGTTTTAAATCCAATTCCATAAGTGGATATGAAAGACATCGCAACAGTACAAAAAGACAAGGAAGAGAAAGAGCGATAATAAACTTACTGATAGCGCTACCGATGTCGAGCCAACTGCCGTACGGCGTGACACAATGCATTAAAGGTAGCGATATGCAATCGCCTAAAAAAAGAATGGCTAAAGAAACAGGCTTCTTGTATTCTGATTCTAGTGAATAGCTCGCGCATCCGACTAGTATCAAGGGAATGCTAAGTTTGAAAAGTATTAAAGATGTCATTAAAAATGAAGAAAAAACAGTAACAAAGTGACGCGTCCAAGATGGATCAAACGAACTGATGCTCGCCATATTACCTGTGCCGAAGAAACACAATAGTATGTACAACATCAATGATAAGATGTTAAGGATATGTATAAATGATAATAGATGTGCCTCATATGAATTAAAAGAATATCGTTAAAAAATTAAAGATAACAGGTAAATTTTAGTTTGTTTTCCTAGAAAGAGTCTAAATAATATACAAGATTCCTTAGTTACAATATTAATTTAATAATCTATATTTTTCTCATTTGTCTAATTAATTAAAAATATCTGATATAAATATCACCAACTCTTCATGGAAATTCTTGTGTAACAATAAAAAAATCTTTTTAAAAGGATACAAAAAATGCTGCTTTGATCAAGTCTTTTGTAATCTTTTGTGTATTTCCTGAGCTCCTTGAAGTGGCTTGTAACCAACAAAGTAAATTGATTGTAAGTATAATGAAGAAGAGTGGCTCATAAGACGCAGACAATAATGTAAGAGGACAGAAAAATCCAAGCATTATGCCCAGCATTCTTCTCTTAGTTTCTGTTGGATAATACCAAATGCACAATGGTGTAGTCAGTAAAATAATCCACGATATCCAGTATCTACCATCGAGAAATTCTGTGTACACGAGGCTTGTAACGATTAAACGTAAAATTTCCATTATTCTCCGACTCTGCGATGTCTCATTGATAATCATTATCGACATCGCTACCAAAATGCCAATTATCCTGAAAGAA